TGTCACTGTCACTGTCACGTCCGAGTCACGCTAGTTCTACAAGTCACGCGCGCGAAATCGTATTCATTCTTTTCAAAAAATGAATTGTCTACTGCAATCATCAAAACCAGTCACGAGAAAAGAAATAAAACCGTTGACAAATGAATCAGAGGACAGATATACATTCCTAACGTAGATGTGTTCAAGAAGTGTACTGATTGTTCAAGAGTGTATGTGTTGATTCAAAACAGAATGAAGCCATTCAGCCATTCAAAAATAACAACTATTAAGGACAGCCAGACAGAATAACAGCATTCCCGCTGTTACCCCGGTAGGTAGCTATGGCAACCATGGCGAGGTTCCCCGRTTTATAAGTCAAGCCTCTCTCCCAAAGCAGGAAATACCGTTTCGAGAACTTCAAGATTTTCCCAGGGGACCTGGATGTTGTCCATAAGCTGTTGAAAGATTGACAACGTACAAAGACGCTCAGCTTTATTTATTTAATAGTTTAATTTAGTAGGAAGAAGAAAACTAGAGCGGTTTTTGAATGAGTGGTAAACGATACGGCAAATTTGTAGCCGTAATATCGCCGCTTACCACAGCCGTAACTACGCGTTGTGATTGGATGACTTGCTGGAAGACAATGGGAAGCCATTTCAGTGCTGCTTGTCCGGAAACATATCGTACCGTGTACGTGGCTTGGGTTTTGCAGGATTTCCCCCCCCTAAATTTGAGTGCCTTATAATTGTCAGCTACGCAAGTAAAGGGGCTTAAAATTTTATAGTTTATCAAGTTCTCACTTACCCATCCTCATAAACAAAGCGATAAAGACCCAAAGACTCAAGGACTGACTTCCAATGTAGTTTACAGCCGTTTTCTCTCTGAAGGAACCAACGAGACTTCGAGTTTAATTAGTTGCTGTCAATCAAAACTAGGGCCCATAATTGTCCGACAAAAACCGCATTTCCTCTTCTCAGTTTTCTCAGTTTGTAAAACAGCTTCAAACCATCTTGGAGCCAAATAAACACCCCACACAACACTTGTGTATCCGAATCCCCGCTTCCACGTCCGATGTTAAGCAAATCCGATAGGAAATTAATGCAGGTCGTCTGGCATGTATAACTCAACCTCTCACTTGACCTTGATCAATAATGTTGCTGTCGTATTTTACAGTCAATTCAACAAGCGCGAGAACTAGTTGATAAAGATGGGTGTCTACGGTAGCTTTCTTGCAATCTCTTTGATTTTTTCAACCTTCTTTCAACCTTTTCGACCCGAGGTCTTTACTTCGACTTCTCAACTTTCAGAACATACCAAAGTTGAACAGTCCCTTGACAAGGCGTTACAAAACTACATCAAGAAAGAAAAACAACGGTTAAAGAAGCTCAAAACTTTTCTACGGCTTAAGAAGAAGCAATCACAGAAACGGTTGTTAGACCTTGAGGATTTGAGCGGCTTGACTATCAGCCCTGTGGACGCGTTCACGACCTTGAATCGGTTTGGTAAGGATTGGGAAGACGTTGGGAAGCAACTGAGACAGCGCGAACATCGTGAAGGTAATAACTGAAGGCACTTACTCAATTCAATATCTACTCATTTTCCTTTAATTCGACAAATAAGGAGGGCTGCGCATCTGCTTGATTTGGAAACTAAACTAACACGTTATACTTTAGCATCAGAAGTCGTAAATTAACTTTTTAAGAGCATGCGAATTAGTACGTTTGCCAAGACTGAAGCTTACGATATGTCACCAATAAACAGAGGAACGCCACGGGAACCGGCCCGGCTCACGCTGAGAAAATAGAGAGATAATCGTTCATTCATCATTTATTAGTTGGAATCCCTTCAAATTGCACTATTTATTTGATGAATTAAAAGCGTAAAACTGATATTAATTATGGACGACGTTGATAGTTTTTATCACAAATTGATGATCAAGTTTATTAATTTTGTAATCGATGGAACTCGATAATAATATGAGGTAATTTTGTGCATTCATTGACCGTCTTAAAGCAAGGATTTCTGCTCACGGTCTTCACGTAGAGACTGTAGTTGACCTAGGACACGTTGGTGGTTATATGATAAACTCATAGTCAGGGTATCGAGTTTTTGGAGACAGCATGCTTTGATCGTGCGTAGATCATGGTCCCTGCTTTACATATGACACCGTGAAAGATGGCAAATGTTTTATCATCATGAGATAGTAGATCAGTTTATACCTTAGTTCATGTCCAAAATAATGTCGATAAATGAGATATTCTTGTCCAAGTATATCTATCAGTATCTATCTAGACTGAGCAAAAATATTATTGGAGTTATATGTTGCCAGGCTACGTTTTTTGAGAAAACAGCACATTAAACCTCCGCTCTAAGCTTTTGAAGCCGCGCACATAGRTATATTTATCTAGAGGTCATTCGTAGAACTGCATAAACGTTAGCGGACGTATCTCGATATCAAAATTATGGCACTAACGTGAAATGTCAGTTGACAAGTAAAAAAATCTTCAGAATTAAAAGTACAAAGTGCAAAAATCAAGTTTAAGAAGAATTTTTTTTCAATAATGGCAAAAAACGACAAAAACTAGACTTTTGATCCCAATAATTTTCGTTTTGGGTTAACACTAAAAACCTTTTTTAACAGTTAGAAACTGATGTATTATGATAAAATGCCTGTTTGAAGCGGTATTTTCAATTGTACAAAGATGTTTTGTTGCATTTGTGTTAGAATGTAGCTTTGTCAGGCTTTTTTTTATAGAAAATATATGGGAAATAATTAAGCAAATGAAGGCCTAAACCTCATTTTCGAATAAAATTTTTGCTTTGGGTTAACGCTTTGATTCCACTTTCATCGGTCATCTCCACTTCCAAACAAGTTAAACTTTCTGAATAACAAGATTTTAGCCTTGTACAACAGCCTTTCTTCAAGAAAATGGTTTTTGGCGCTCACTTCTTGAATACGAAAATCTCTCCTAATTAGTAGATAAACAAAAGAATGTTGGTCTTTGGTGAGAAGGTTTGCAAAAGGTAAAGTCAAATACAGGGAAACGTTGAAAATGTAGTCATGTTTACCGTTTTGTGGGAAGGAAAAACGCGATGCTCAATGTAAAGGAGAAAAAAGAGGAACTTTTATTTGCACAAAAAGAAAGAAAGGATACCTCGTTAGTGGACGTCTACATGTTTCTCGTACGCATCTAGATCTTTAACCCCTTTCGTCAAATCTTGGAGAGTTACACATTCCCGCCACAGCTCCGTGTTTATTTGCTGTTTAATAGTATAAACATAATAATAATAATAATAATA